ACATGCCTGGGTTGCAGGCCAGGTCCCCAGTGGGAGCCACATGAGAGGCAACCACACATTGATGTTTCTCTCCCTCTCTTTCTCCCTCCCTTCCCCTCTCTCTAAAAATAAATAAACAAACAAAAGAAGAAGCAAGGATGCCCACTCTCATCACTCTTACATTAGCCACTGCAATAAAGCAGAAAAAGAAAATTAAAGCCACACAAATTTGAAAAGAAAGAACAAAATCTATTGCAAGTGACATGATTGTAAACAGAAAATCCCACAGAATCTACCAAAAAATAAACTTCAGGAAGTCATAAGTAAAAATATTATTATTGATATCACTGTTACTAACAATAAAGTAATACAATCTTACATGAATTTTACATACATACTGACAATAAAATCAGGGAAACCAAAACGAAAACACAATACCAGATGTAATTGCTCCAAAGTAAAAAAAAAAAAATACTTAGGTATAAAATAAAAATGTGTACATTATCTGTGTGATAAAAAGTGGAAAAAGGAATCAAAGAAGACCTGGACAATGGAGAGACATACCATGTCCATGGCCTGGAGGGCCATTCTAGAATCTGTATAGAAAGGGAAAGGCGACAGATGAGCCAAAACAATGATGAAAACATTTTTGGGAGAAATCACTCTTCCCAATATCAAGACTTACATATCTACAGTAATGAAGAAAGAAGAATGGACGCACAGATCAGTGGAATAGGACAGAAGCATGTCCACCCAAATATGCCCAATTAATTTTTTTTAAAGATTTTATTTCTTTATCTTTAGAGGGGAAGGGAAGGAGAGAGGGAGAGAAACATCAATGTATGGTTGCCTTTCATGCATCCCCTGCTGGGAACTGGCCTGCAGGGAACCAGCCTGCAACCCCAGTATGTGCCCTGACTGGGAATCGAACCGTAATTGTCTGGTTCGCAGGCCCGCGCTCAATCCACTGAGCTATACCAGCCAGTATGCCCAATTAATTTTTAAGAAAGGAGTGGAAGTGCCCTGGCTGGTGTGGCTCAGTGGATTGAGTGCCCGCCTGCAAACCAAAGGGTCACTGGTTGGACACTCAGTCAGGGCACATGCCTGGATTGCAGGTCAGGTCCCCAGTAGGGGGCGCACCAGAGGCAACCACACATTGATGTTTCTCTGCTTCTCTTCCTCCCTTCCTTCCCCTCTCTCTAAAAATAAACAAATAGAATCTTTTTTTAAAAAAGGGAGTGAAAGCAAAAAATGAATCTATTCCTAAATGCCACATCCTAAACACAAACTAACTCAAAGTGGATCATGAACTTAAGTGTAAAAAATGAAACAATAAAAACTAGGAAAGAACATAGAAAAAATCTTTAGGCTCTAGGTCTAAGAAAAAAGTTTTAAAACCTGACAACAAAAGACAACCTATAAAGGGCAATTTTATAAACTGAACTGAGAGACAATATTTGCAAATTATATATCCAACAAGCCCTTATATCTGGAATATAAAAAGAACATTTAAAACTCAACATTAAATAAAACATTACAAATGTCTAAATGTTCAAAACAATTTTATTTGTAGTAGCCGAACACTTAAAAAATTTTTTTTAACCCTTCAAAGAATGAATGCTTAAAAAAATAGTCTATCTTACCATGGAATGTCATTTACTTGTAAATATATATATGTATAAATATATAATAGTATATAATAGTATATAATATCTTATATCTTATGTATTTATATAAATATATATTTGTTTATTTATTTATATAAATATGTGTAAATTTACATGAATATAAAATATATATTATATACATAAATATAATATACATACATTTAAATTTTTCTTTTTTAAAAAATTATTTTTCAAGTACAGTTTTCTGTATTTTACTCCCAGCCCACCCCCCCCTCGTGCTCCCCACCTCCCTTAAAAGTTTCACAGAACCCTAGCTGGGTGCCTCAGTGAGTTGGAGTGTTGTCCCAAAAGCCAAGAGGTTGTGGGTTCGATTCCTGGTCAGGGCACATACCTGGCTTGTGGGTTTGATCCCCAATCTGGGCACATATGGGAGGCAACCGATCTATGTTTCTCTCTCACATCTTTCTCTCTTTCTCCCCCCTCTTCCCTTTTGTCTCTCTAAAATCAATAAACATATTCTCAGGTGAGAATTAAAAGTAATTACATAAATACTTGCATAGAGCCGCGCCCCCTCACACACAAACTACTGCTATAGGCAACACGTTGGATGAACCTCAAGGAAATCATGCTGAGTGAGGAAAAAAAAAAGAAGCCAGTTTCAAAGGCTACACGCCACATTATTGTCTTACAAACCTTCGGTGGAACATCATAATCACAGAGAAGAACAAATCAGCAGTTGCCAGGCCTTGGGGGACGGGGAGGGTTGGGGGGAGCGTTGCTGTCCCCGGCGGTCCCAGGGGCTGGCGGGGACAGGGCGGGTGAGTATCCGTCCCCCTGGCGCCGGCGGAGAGGACGCAGGCTACATGCAGAGCCACCCGCCCCACACATGATCTCCGAATGAGCGAGTGTATAACCACTCACATCTGACTAAGCTCCGCGCGCGGCACCCGCATTAGTTCTGTGATACCCAACCACAGCTGTGGAACCTTAACCTGGAGGGAAGCTGGTGAAGGTGCAGGGACTTCCCTGTACATTTCCGTGCAACCTCCAGTGAGTCTGTGATTATCTCAAAACAAAAGGGTTTTTTTAAATAGCTGATGCAGCGAGTGCACTGTAAGATGGAGCAGCGGCGGGCATGCCCGACCCCCAGGGCCTCTAAAATGAGCCAACCTCGATGATGCAGTCCTTCCAACCCTGTCCGCTTGGTTCCTGCCAAAATAGAAGCCATGCTGAGCTGGTTTCCTTACAGGACTTTTATAACCTCGGGATGGTTATTGGGAAGAAGGAAAGGTGTTTTTTTTTTTCTCCCCTTGAATGACTATTAATAACAACCATTAGTTAATGAAAAATGAATAAATATTTACAAATTATGTAATTTTTAAAGGCTGCAAAACTATACAAAAAAAAAGATGTACGAAGCCTCAAATAGCAGAGAAGTCTTTTCAAAATGGGCATTGGACCATATTTTTTTTAATTGCTAGTGACTGTAAGTGATTAAAGCACACTGAATTTATTAAATGCCCCCATACAAAATGCTATTCAGAAAATCAGGAGGGAGTCACAAAATAAACTCAATGAACGCAGCTGCAAGTTGCCAAGGCAATAATTCATTACCATAAAATCAATAATTAAAGAAAACTAATCTATCTTGTGTTTCTCACATACACTATGCTTCACATGAGCAGAATAAGGCAGAAAATTCTCCGATGCAGAATGATTAATTTGTAGGTGCAGGTGCAATGACAGAATCAAAAACGTTATTGAAACGTGAATGAAGTAACTGGGTCAGGTCGTGGTCCCTAGTGGATCTCCAGACAACGCAGAGCTACCGGGAGCTTCGCTGTAGACTCTCGCGGGGCTGCCCCACCTCTGGTCACTGAGAAATCTCAGCATCCCTGACTGGGGACTTCAGACACCACACTCTTCCTCCTGACCCAGCTCGAACTCCCAGCACACTGGTGGAGTAAGTGGACCCCAAAATTGTACCTAAGGCTTCAGAGCTAAATTGCAGTCTGTAAGAAAAAGAGGGAATAATAGAGTAACAAATTCACTGGGCGAGGATCATCAACCCAACCCCGGGTGCAGAATCTCCTAAGAACAATAAAACAGGGTGTCCACCAGATGGCGCCGTGGCACAGCCCAGCCCAGTGGGCCGCTGGTGGCCTCAGCAGGCGGCCTCAGCGGGTGGCCTGGGGAAGAGCCCACCCACTACAGGGCTGGCTATTGCCTGGCGGCTGGGTGCTCAGCTCCTGGAATGTTCCCAAAGTTACCAAGGGAGAAACTGGCCTGTGGGCCAGGTGCGCAGCTCTCTGCTGTACACAAGCCTGGGCTGCTCTGTGCTTCAGAGTAAACTCCTACTTCCCTTCCGAAAGTTGGGGCTTTGGTGGGGTGAGGGGGCATAGGTGACAAGTCCCCAGCAAAAATCCCAGGCAAGAGGAGCCCTTTCCTGATTCTCCCAGACTCAGCCTAAGGAACCTTTGGTAATAAACCACAGCTCCCGGTGCTGATTCTGAGCCCGAATCCTTCTAGAAAGTCACAGAGCACAGGGGTGGGCATGGGGTCCCCGAAACAAAAACAAAACAGGGCTGATGGGAACAGCCCTGCCCTAGATTAATAGAGACACAGATGTAACAACTGATCCAGCCGGCGGACCTCGCTGGACACTCGAGGGCTCCACTCCCTGGAGCCGACATTCCTCACCAGGCAGACTTCCGGAACCTTCCTGACCACATTCTAGAACGTTCCTCCCACCGGCTGTCTCCTTGGAGGCACCCTTTGTGGTCTGATCCCAAGCTCGCCTCAGAAACACCTTTCCCAGTCACCAGAGACTGACTCTTAGGCCTGACTTTCGGGAGCTGACATGCAAAGTGTCCCCGTGAATCTGGATTTGTGATGACCCCAGCGATGGGTCCCACTCTGACCCAGGCACTGACCCGGCTCCGCCGCGTGCTGTGGGAGGGAGAGCCACGGGGTTTCCCAGAAACACCCGGTTTACAGGACGTGGCGCTGGTAGAGTGCGCACGGCCGCGGGCCTCCGAGTCCCGTTAGCGGGAGCAGCAGATCGCAACGTGCCACCTTACCGACGAACACCCTGCGCCCCAGAAAGGCTCAGGGCGGGTCCCCTCGAGGTCGCGCGTCATGCGAGCGGCAGAGCAGCAGTGAGAAAATCACACATGCCCTGTGTTCTCGGGTCACGTTTTGCTGGTTCCTGCCAAACACCTTGCCGAGGTTCAGCAGAAATCCCAGTTTTCTACCTAAAAGGCCGGCAGAAATGCTGCTTCTTGGGAAGACGCTGTCACCATCCGATGGAGCGGCAGGACTGAGGTCACCCGCGCACCCAGCAAGTTAAAGACACCGACTTGCAGACAAAGCGTCGACATGCACGGAGCTTACCTCGAATATAATGAGCACGTAGACGCCGGCGAGGATGACGGCGGCAGTGGTCACTTGGGCCTCCACGCTGGCGCGGAGGTGCTGGTGTGCCAGCAGCAGCGGGACCACCTGGGTCCCCTGGAGCTCGGCGCGGATGCTGATGGAAACGCCTGCTCTGCAGAGTGAAGCAAAAACCTTAGCGCTGATGCGGCGAACAGACGTTTGGCAACCACTGGAGCTTCCCCCTCTGTGTCCTTCCAACCAAGTCACCCGCAGCCCTGGCCAGAGCCCTACCGACCCCAGTCCCCGAGACGCAGAGCCCCCCCGTACAGGAGACAGGGGTGCGGCATGCGGGAGGCGGCCTCCCAGGGCCAATGCAGGCGCCACTCCTACAACTTACTGGGCGCAGGAACGCGCACCTACTTCCTGTCCTCCTCACCGACCACCACCTGACTTCTTTGTGGGCTCACAAATAGAAAAAGGCCACGTGCAGCCTGAGAACACACACAGGCTGTCGCTGGCAGCGGGACAAGCCCCAGAGCGCAGGAGGCGTCACAGCCCGAGGCATGCCGGACCTGAAGCCTGGTTCTAAAGGGCAGAACTCCCATGTCCACTTCCGAACCCTCGGTCGTAAAGAATGCACAGAGTATTTGGAGATGGGGTCTTATACGGAGGCAAGTAAAACAAGGCCCCTTGGTGGCCATCCAGGATGGCAGGTGTCCTTCGAAGAAGAGATCAGGACACAGACACCCAGAGGGACGACGGTGTGAGGACACAGGGAAAAGATGGCTGTCCACCCTCTGAGGAGAGGGGGCCTCAGAAGACAGGCACCGTGCTGTCGCCTTAAGAGCGTAATTGTGCTTGCTTGTCCTGGCTGGTGTGGCTCAGTGGACTGGGCACCGGTGGCCAGTTCCACTCCCACTCATGGCACATGCCTGGGCTGCAGGCCAGGTCCCCAGCAGGGGGCGTGCGAGAGGCAACCACTCACTGAAGTTTCTTTCTCTGTTTCCTTCCCTTCTCCACTCTCTAAAAATAAATAAAATAGTTTTTGAATTTCCCTTGGGTAAGTCACCCAGCCTGTGGCATATTTCATGGCAGCCCTAGAGAACACATACAACAGCCAAAGCACAGCTTAATTAATATGGAGAGGCGTTCATGAAAGAAAAAGAGAAAGAACCCTAACATTTCCCAGAATTCACCATAGGAGAGCTTCATGATAATCATGAAATTAATGCAGAAGCCGTAAAATACCACGTGCTTCAAATGGGCCTGGGATGAACACTGTCATTTCCCACTGGTGTGACCGTGACACCCTGCCACATCCTTTGAGTTCACCGTCCGCCCAGAAAGAGCATCTCGTCCACAGCACATAACTGACCGGGTACCATTTGTCCCCCAAATCAGAGCCACACAGGCAAAAATTCTTAAAGTGAGCGTGTCCCAGAGGACAACCTTCTCTACCCACTGTCCAGACCTGGATCACGTGAGACCTACCTGCTCGGAACCTCAAAGGTCCTGCTGACCACCAGGCGCTCGCTCTGCCGGGGGCTTAAAAATACCGTCCAGTTATGAATGACCTGGAAAGGTCAAAGTGGGAAACTGCGGTCAGGCTTTGAACTTGAACGTCAGCGGGGACCCAGTGCTCTGCAATGTAGGTGTTTGTTTGGAATAAGGAGAAAGGGAAGACTCAGGGGGACTGTTCACCGACACCCACTTCCCCACCAGAAACAGTCCAGGCGGTGCGGAGCTGGAAATGTCCACATTGTGGGAGGCCTTTGTTTTAGAAAGAGCGTCTTCTGAGCCCTCTGGGGCAGCGCAGAAGAAACGCTGGCTTAACACTGCTACCGGCTCACAAACTTGGGGCAGGTGGGAGGGAGGCCCCAAGTGTAGCCACCACCCGCCCTGGTCCCCCCTGCGCCTGGCAGGAAAGAGGGGGGGAAATGTGTGTGGGGGGCCAGGGAATTTCCATGGGAGGGCAGCAGTCTTGCTGCCCACAGTCACAAAGGACATGGAAACCAGGAACCGGATTACTCAAAGTGTGAACAAGTGCGGGGCCCAGTGGCTCAGCTGGTTGGACTGTCATCCCAATACGCCAAGGTTGCAGGTTTGATCCCCAGTCAGAGTATGCACAGTGTTTCTCTCTCAATTCTATGTTTCTCACTCTCTTTCTCTCTCCCCTCCTACCTCTGTAAAATCAATAAATACACCCTCAGATAAAGATTTTTTTTAAAAACAAGCTTCATTTGCATAAATGGTGAGAATTTTGTAATTGACTTAAAGAAGGGGGAAAAGAATTTCAAAGACCAAGCAAAAGAAGAGGGCTTTCCTGACAGTGAGCTCACTGCCTCCCGGCTCCCTATCCCATCCGTTCTAGAGGAAACTCGGTTTGTAAAGAGATGAAGTGAGTTTTTACAATTCCATTAAAATAACACATAAGTATGACCTGCTGTGGCCGCCGCCGGGAGCCTGGAGCATTGGCCTGGGTCACCTCCACCACGACATGATCTTCTCTTCCTGGACGACTCGGGCCACTGGCCACCAGGGCCCCGGCCAGGTCCACCTGGAGCAGCGTGGAGTCGGCTCTGCTGCTGAGGTTCACAGCTGGGGACACGTCAAGGTGAATCACAGAGCAAGCAGAGACCTAGGGTCCCCCCACCATCTGCCCCATGCACACCCTCCTTGGAAGCTGCACAAAGAAATGCATAGCCAGCCCCTGCTGGTGTGGCTCGGTAGATTGTGGCTTAGTGTGAACCAAGGGGTCCCTGGTCAATTCCCAGTCAGGGCACATACCTGGGTTGCAGATCAGGTCCCCAGTAGGGGGCGCATGAGAGGCAACCACACACTGATGTTTCTCTGCCTTTCTTTCTCCCTCCCTTCCCCTCTCTCTAAAAATAAATAAAATCTTTTTTTTTTTAAGAATTCTGACAGCAGCTAAGAGAGAAATTCCACGTTGAAGTCAGGAATGTATCGAGAGGCTACCCCCTCCATCTGGACCCTGAGCTCCTGCATCCTGCACCTGGGTTTGCACCAACACAGCAGCCTGCGTTGCTGAGGCCTTCTCTCCCTGCTCCGGGCCGACTCCCACCTCTGCTGCAGGGTCCTGGGGGGCACGACGTGGGTCCTGCACTGCAGCCAGCCCAGCCACTGCACCTCCAGAACAGAGCAGCAGTGATGGTGGAAGACGCATCTCCAAATGATCCATGTTCTGTGTGAGGTCTCAGAAGTCCCACGGCAGCCCTGATGTGTGGCTCAGTTGGTTGGCGCGTCAGCCCACAAAGTGGAAGGCCACCAGTTTGATTCCCGCTCAGAACACATACCTGGGTTGCTGGTTTAGTCCCCAGTTGGGGTGCGTTCTAGAGGCAACTGATCGGCTAATTTTTCTACTCTTCTTTAAAACCCTCACAAAAACAGGTGGTTTGCAGAGCAGACAGAGGGAGAGGGCGGAACCACTGCCAGGGTGTCTGCAGGGTTTGCATGGAGTTTTGGGAGCAACAGGGAAAGGTTGATCCTTTTTCATTGCCTACTTCATGCAGCAAATGTACCGTGTGTGTGTGTGTGTGTGTGTGTGTGTGTGTGTGTGTGTAAAGATTTATTTATTTATTTTGAGAGAGCAGGGGAGGGAGGGGAGAAGAGAGGGAGAGAGAAACATCAATGTGTGGTTGCCTTTCCCATGCTCCCTACTGGGGGCCTGGCCAGCAACCCAGGCATGTGCCCTGACAGGGAATTGAACCTGTGACCCTTTGGTTCACAGGCTGGCACTCAATGCACTGAGCCACCCAAGCCGAGGCTATACTGTTTTTTGTTTTATAAATGTACAAAAACACCCAGGGAAGAAAGCACTGGATCAATACCAGCTCCATCGTCCATCTATCTGAGAGCCTGACTGGAGGGTCTCTCCACACACCCCGGATGCCACTTGGGGTCTAAAATGGACAAATGGAAACCGGAAGTCACACGGGGGGGGCAGAACGTAGTGGGAGAAGTCCCCAAAAGACACTGCTGCTTCTGCCACACCAAGTCACTCCTGCCCTGGTCTTTCCGCTCGACGTTCGCGGGATACCGGTGGGGAAACGTTCCACCTTGGGAACTGCAGACCTGGAGGAAACCACGGAGGTAGAACAGCACCATCTGCAGGCTACCGTGGGAAGAGCAACGGCTCCTCCCCGTGATGGAACGAATGTGGAGCGTCTACTGGGGACCAAGCGCAAAGGAACAAAACAGGCCTTTGTACCGAGGGCGCGAGCAGGCACCGGTGAAAGCACCCTAAACGGAGCGCGCGCACAATCCACAGCGCACCGGGCCGCACGCACCGCAGCCTTCCTTTTCTCTGTCTCTTCAGCCACCCACCACATGCTGAGGATGCAAAGCCCACCAGGATGGAATGGTGTCAGTAGTGACTTGCAGACGCCTGCAAACGGCAGCCTCAGTCGAGCCCCGCCCCTGCCTTCCAGCCCCGCTGAACGTCTGCTTCGCACCTGACACGCAGTACTCCCGCCTCCCCAAACCTGGAGAATTCCTATCATTTCAGAGCTCACTCAAGCTCTCCCCTCCTGAAATCCATCATCGGCATGCAGTGACTGGTGTGGCTCAGTGACCTGGGCATCGTTTCGCAAAGCAGGTCTCAGGTTCGATTCCCAATCCCGGTACATGACTAGGTTGCCGGCCACATCCCAGCAGGGGGCGTGCAAACGGCAACCAATTGATGTTTCTCACATAGATGTTTCTCTCCCTTTCTTTCTCCCTCCCTTCCCATGTCTCTAAATAAACAAAACCTTTTAAAAATCCATCCTTGGCACTCACAACTCCTTTTCTCAATGACCCCTAGTCGGGGCTGACCCTGATGAAGTGTTTATTCACACCACAGTGCTGTTCGTTGGCATTTTTCTCCCCAGCTGGTTTGTGAAATGCTTTAGAAAAAGGCGGACGCGCTGCAGTTCGCTGCGGGGCCCTTCTTTGCTATGATCTGACTCTGGCGTCGTCCGGTACTGCCCGGCTTCCCTGGGATTCCCACTGAATGGCGAGGGGCTGTCGCAGGGGCGGCTCGGAAGTTTCAGAGGTTCCAGGCCTCGGGGTTCACTGAGGCCACTCCAGATCGAGTGCTGAAGGGGGGCAGCCACCCAGCCTCTTCCAAATACTTCTGCTCCCTGACTGGGCCTCACTGAAGACCCTCTGCGACCCCGGTCGGCAGGGTGGGGGGCAGGGTGGCGGGTTGCGACCAGCTGCAGTGAAGTCAGAGGAAGAGCTGGCAACGCCAGTTCCCGGGAGAGCCGGGCTCCACGCTTGTTTGCGGGCCCCTTGGGGAGCTTGACAGAGAGGAAATGAGAAATGCAGTTCACGTATCCAAGTCCCAGGGCTCCTCCGTTCTCCCCCAGGACGTGCTTCTCCCGCTAATGCTGCAGGTGATTTTAAAGGCAAGCATCTGCCCTGCCTGGAAGCGGGGTGGGTTAGAGCAGCATCCCCGTGCGCCATGGTCGCAGGTTCGATCCTGGGTCAGGGTGCACGCAAGCAGCAATCAATGAGTGCATCAATAAATGGGACAACAAATCAATGTTTCTCTTCCTCTCTCTCTCTAAAATCTACATAACAACTTTTTAAAGTGGTGAGACATACAGACGTGAGCGAGCACCCAGGTGGAGAGAACGGACGCACTGTGCGTTTAGGGGCGGGACTTCCTCAACGGCCCGGGTTAGGCCCTGAGCACCGGGTCCGTCTGGGGTGCTGCTGGCACCCTGTGTGTGGACAGTGGCTCGGCCAAGAGAGTAGGGCATTCTAGGAAGACATGAGGGGCCCCCCAGAAGGACCCAGCAAACAATTGCAGCCAAATGCTGCTGACGGCAAGAAAAACTACCCGATTTCCTGAAGTTTCAGGCCACCCAGATTATCCAGGAAAGATACTAAAGAAAAGAACGGCTCACTTATGTTCTCTGAATGATTTGACTTCTTTTAAAAAGATAATCGCACAGAAGCAGGCAAGTGGAATCAGAAAATTTAAAAATTGCTGGAGGTCAAGTGTGGGCTCGTCTGAGAGTGGAGAGCCCCGCGGGGGCGCAGAACGGGGGTATTCACACCTTCACATGGGCTTTTCCTCCAGGAACCTCCGCAGGGGCTCCCAGGGGAGGTGGGGAGGCTGGGGAGACTCCTGAGAAAGCCTTGGTTTGAGGGGAAACTCATCAAACCTGGCAGCCTGAGGGCGCAGCTGGGGGCAGGTGCGGTGGGGGCGGGGAGAAACCTGCCAGACAGTGCAGAGGGGTTCCCATGGCAACCACAAACAGCAACTGCTGCCAGCCTCTGTCCAAATTTACACCAACCCCTCAACTAGTGCTCGCAAAATTTAAGATACGCTCACCTCCAAGCTTTACCTCAGGGCTACAGGCTGAGTGTTCGTGACCCTTCAAAATCCACGGTCAAGGCCTGCGCCCCCCACATGGTTGTATTTGGAGCTGGAACCTCTGAGGAAGTCACTGAGCTTAAGTGAGGTCATCAGCGAGGCCCTGATCTGACGGGATTATTGTCCTCATAAAAACAGACATTGGCCCTGGCAGGGCAGTTCATTGGGTGAGAGCGTCATCCCAGTTCACCAAGGAGGCAGGTTCAGCTCTGGGTCAAGGGCACACAGAAGAAGCAACCAGTGGATGCATCAATAACGGAAGCAACGGGTCGGCGTTTCTCTCTCTCCCCCCCCGCTTCCTCTCTCTCTCCTACATCAGTAAATTATAAAAAGAGAGAGCGACAGAGACCAGAGAGCGTTCTCTCTGTGTCTCCACACACCAGGGAATGACACGTGAGGATGCAGCAGGCAGGTCTGCAAGCCAGGGAACGAGACCGCACCAAACACGACATCAGCCACACCTTGACCTTGAACTACGGGCCTCCAGGACTGAGAAATAAACCCTCTAGTTGGAGCCACACTATCTGCGGTGATTTGCTGTGGCAGCCGGAAGTAACTAACACACTCAGAGTGTCTGTCCCACACATCTGCCTCCCCAGGACAAACTACGAAGCCTGAGAAAGCAACAAGAAAAAGTGCAACGTGAAGAAGCCAAGCAATCAGCGGAGCAGAAGACAGAGCCAGGAAAAGAACCAATAAACTCGAAAATGGGTCAGCAGAAATCACCCAGAGGAAGTGGGGAAGGAGGCTACGGACCCGCATGTCCCAAAGCCACAGGGAAACCGGGGCCCTAACAAAGTATGACACAGCCCCCAGCAACCCCGTGTGGGGAAGCGCACCGCCCACCCACATCGGGGTCTCCCTACTGCTCTTTCCACCTCCCCTGAGGCCTGGTTTTTCATTAGCATCCTGCTGGCTTGTGCTGTGACCTTGGGCAGCTCTTGGGACAGTTCTTGGGTGTCTCTTTGCTTTGTGACTCTCAGCCGCCCGCCACCCGTCCACCTCCCATCCAGCACGTGGTTCAGATACAGTAGCTTTCCTGCGGCGACACAGCCAGCAGCTGCCAGAACTTCCCTTGGTCTGGATACAGGCTAAACGAAACCTGTAACGACCAGAAACATCTCATGAGGAATGCAGTTGAGAGGACCACAGGGTTCACACCATTTTCGCCCCCACACAAACAAAGGGTTCACCGCAGGGGGCTGAAGGAGGATTTGGTAAGCTCCCTGAGGTGGGCAGACCCAGGGGGCCACTTCCCTGCCTTCTGCGGAGCAAAGCCAGGTCACTGAGGCTTCAGCCAGGTGACTTGGGACAAGAGCAGAGAAGCCTCCCAAGGCCTCCATGGCTACCCACGGGCCGCCACCCCCACGCCCTCAGCTCCTCCTCCAAGGGAACTGTGGTCCCACCACGCAGGCGCCCAGCCTGCGGCGGGGCCCACCATCGGTCTGGGCGCGGTACTCACGGAGCACATCACCACGAAGGCAAACAGGCCCGTGACCTTCAACCACCGGACACAGCGCCTGCAGAGAAAGGCAGGCCCCCGTCACGGCCTCACGGCGCCCTCCTGTGAGCGCACGCCCAGACCTGCCAGACCTCAGCCACCTTTCCCAGGCCCCCCGAAACCTGCCCCTTAGAGCCCGCCTTTGGGGTCCTCTCCTTAGCAGGGCAGCAAGGATCATACTGCAGACTGTGGCCCCACCTTCTGCCTGGTGGCAAGTGACTTGGTTGGGGGACGAGAGGAACAAAGGTAGCACCGAGGGCTTGCACACAGCTTCTTGCTGGAGACGCTAAGACCAAGATTTGAGGCTCCAGATTCCCGGCAACAAGCCTCATCTGGTCTCTCAGACTCACATGCGTCAATCACTTTCCTCTAAGTTTTCTGAAAGGTAGGCCTATAGATTTGACCATTAAATATACAAATGCGGAGACACAACCATTGGTTCCAGAAAGTGCAACATTGTCATTGGTTGTACAGCAGAGCCTTTCAAGAATTCCCAAGAGCCCTGGCCGGATTAGAATGTTGCCCCCGATACACCAAGGTTGTGAGTTCAATCCCCAATCAGGGCACTTAGAGAAGCAACCAATCAATGCATGAATAAGCGAAACACCAAATCTCTCTCTCTCTCTCTCCAATTCGTAGGAGGTAATTTAGTAGACAACCAGGCCATGTGCTTGGCCTGTCACTCCTTGTGGCATCCTGGCCCAGCCACCATTTTGCACTTCACCATGGCCCTCAGGCCCGAGGTGGACCAGGGCCTGGCCACCCCTCCACAGCCCCTCCAGCTGCACCTCTGGTCCTATCGCCTCCCCAGCCCACCAGGGTCCACCTCCCAGTGACACTTCACTGCCCAGCCCTGTGGTGTGCCCCACCCCTGCCGGCTCTCCTCCGGGGCGGGGCCCTGGGCTGTCTGCAATCTCTCCCTGAACTTGGAGGGCCGCTGCCACTTGGCCTGGGCTTGACACACGTTTGCAGAATGAAGGAAGTGTCGTTTTCAAAACCACTCTGGTCCTTTCAAGATGGCAACAACAGCATGTTTTGCATTCTCTTAGATGTAATGAATTTGATGAATATCAGTTCACATCTCCAAATGGTGATGCAGCAGCTTCTACTTAAATGGGCACCAAAAGGACCCTCTTTTGAAAGGATGAAGCATTCGTGGACTATTCTAAATACAAATCTCTTTCTGACCATCCAAAATATTTTTCACAAGTTTCTTCAATGACCATGCATGGGACTTAATAGACCCGTGAGAAAGGATGGCCCTGAGTCTTTCAGTTCAAGGCAACTGTTTCCCTGGTCAGAGAAGATAAACCAACCCCTGAAGGTCGAGTCTGAAATGTACTTGATTCTATTTTGCTGCCGCGTGGGACAGAGGAGGAAGCTGTCACCCGCTGCAGCAGGGAGCCAGCCAGCTGGGGATGGGTGCTGCCATCCCTGTGACCCCCGGGGCCACACCCCTGTTCACACAATTTCCCACGATTCGCAGGACCTCAGAGCAGATTCACCAGCCAAGTATTGGCCGCGCCTGTGAAGGCAGCTGAGGCCAGTGCCCGTGAGGAGCTACACGGGGCTGGGAGGCTGGCGGGTCACCCACTGCCCCCAGCCGGGCTCACAGGCTGCAAGACCTCAGGCAAAATTATCACCCTCCTGAGGTCCCTTCTGTCATCTTCCTTGGCCAGGACGATCACAGGACACCAGAGAAAGGGCAGCTTTGGATACAGACTCGTGTCCTTTGGCATTTGGTGCATCTGTCAAACAGCTTCAGTGAAGGCCTGTCCCCTGACATTGGGAAATAGTGACACTCATGATTGACAGCAACATAGGGCCCCTCACCTGTCCGTGGGCCAGACCGCCCTTGTAGAAGTCCATGGAAGGCCATGGAGCAAAGGGGACACCAGGAGACCAGGAGAGAGTCGCAGGACATGGCTGGCCCTCTGGTCCCCCAGCTCCCTCACATCTGGAACGTGGACCCAGTGGTCCTGGTCCCCAAGCCTTAGCCTGTCCCTGCAGATGCCGCCTTCAAAGGTGTTGTTCTCGATGGGACCCTTCCTTCCAATAAATGTGTATATGGGACCCTGTGGCCGCAGCCGTGGCCCTGGGCCAGCGCCACCTGGCAAGTCTGCCAGGAAACGTGTGCAGACCCTTCCCTCATCTCCACCGCACCTTTGGGAAGGGTGTCGTGAGGGCGAGACCCCCAGCCTCGCCCCAGGCCGCGGGCTGCCCTGTGCGCCCGCCACCTTGGGCAACGTGGATGCCCCCGAGCCTCCTACCTCAGCTTCGAAAGGCGGAGCCTGGCGTGGGCACCTTCCAGAAGGTCCCCCTTGTCCGAGGAGGCAGACCGGGAGGAGCCAGCCGCCTCGCTGCCCAGCAGCGACCGACCCTCCCACTCAGCCGAGCTGTTGTCCCAAGACTCCTCAGCGGTGACGAACTCCGGGTGGTAAATGTGCAGGGTCCGCACCCTGGAAAGCAACGTTTGGGGTTATTTTCACTGAAAATGAGGTTGCATCTGAGTGGTTACGTGTGAAACGTGGAGTCCCTCCTGGCTTTGGGCAGGACCGCAGAGTCGGTGCGGCTGGGCCTGGTCCCTCTGCGTGTCACAGAGCACTCGGCTCAGGGGACACCTGGAGTCACTCGAATCTTCAGAATGAGTTGTGGGCCTTTAAGAAACATCTGCTTGGCCCTGGTCGGGTAGCTCAGTTGGTTGGAGCATTGTCCCGATTGGCCAAGGTTGCAGGTTCAATCCCCAGTCAGGGCACAAATAAGCATCAAACAATGGACAACAAATGGATGTTTATTTCTCTCTCTCTCTGTCAAAGTCAATTTAAAAAAAAAGAAGAATCAACTCGTTCTGAGCTTGAAACTTTTCTACAGAGCTGGCTCAGCCCAGCGGCCACCCCCAGTCCTGCTCTGTGCAAACACCTTCCTGCAACGGAGAGATAGGGAGCAGGGCCTCCGGGCTCTCCCACCTCACATCCACGTGAGCAGGAGCGGGGACCGCCAGCGCTGGACGACAGGGGCCCAAGAACCAGAGCCAAATCTAAAGGGATGACTGGGGGGGGGGGGGGGAGCCACACGTTGATCAGAATTCCACGTGCACAATCCACTTCCTGTCGGTTGTGCCTTGGACTTCTGAGCAGTTCGCTCTGTACGAATGCGCTTGACTCTAGGGACGGTGCAACAAAGCCTAGAATTTGTGCTGCACGGACTCCTCCTGGGACCACGAGGCTGACAAAACCGCAGCGTGACTTGTAGGAACATGTGACGCCGCTCGGAGGCAGCCAGCTCTACCGGGTGCTGAGATCCTCCTCACAGTTACCCTGCTCTGGGGCTGGGTCACAGCAGGAAAAGAATACTCTTGCCCTCGCTGGTGTGGCTCAGTGAGTTGGGCGTCATCCTGCAAAGCAATACGTCACCGGTTTGATTCCAAGTCAGGAAACATGCCTGGGTTGCAGGTTTGGCCCCTGACTGGGCGTTTTCTGTTCCCAATCAGGGCTCATTCAAGAGGCAACTGATCAATGTTTTTCTCTTGCATTGGTATTGCTCTCCTTCCCTTCCCCGCTCTCTAAAAATAAGTAAATAAAATCTTTTAAAAAGAAAGAGAGGACTGGCTGGTGTGTCTTAGTGGATTGAGTGCTGGTCTGCAAACCAAAGGATCAATGGTTCAATTCCCAGTCAAGGCTCAAGCCTGGGTTGTAGGCTGGGTCCCCCTTGGAGAGACTGTGAGAGGCAACCACACACTGATGTTTCTCTCCCCCTCTCCCTGCCTTCCCCACTCTCTAAAAATAAGTAAATAAAATCTTTTAAAAAGAAAAAGAGCCCTGGCTGGTGTGGCTCCACAGACTGAACGCTGGCCTGCAAACTGAAAGGTTACCGGTTTGATTCCCGGTCAGGGCACATGCCTGGGTTGCAGGCCAGGTCCCCAGTAGGAGGCGTGCAAGAGTCAACTGATCGATGTAGCACACATCGATGTTTCTCTCCCTCTCTTTCTCTTTCCTTTCCCCTCTCTAAAAATAAATAAATCTTTAAAAAAAAAGAAGAAGAAGAGTCTTACTCATAAGGAGATGCCCAGAGAAACAAAGTACATTGTGCAGAATACGCAACAAGGTAGCAAATGATGTCGACAGGGCGCGAGCTTGGAAACTCATCTTTTCTAAGAATTTCGTGACCTGGAACTACTCAGGTGTGTGAGGAACAAGATCACAGCCCCTCGACTTCTGAGCAGACACGACTGTAACTAAAATTGGAACTAAGAAAACAGCTTTCTTGTAAGTAGAAAAAAGAGCGTTCATGACCGTGTTGTGGAGCAGCCCCGTGTGACAGAAATTTCCTTGATGGTGGGAAGGAACGTTCTCTGCCTCATGGCAGCCACATGTGCCAACTGGCCACTGGAAGCGTGCAACTGCAGAACTGAATTTGCATTTTATTAATTTTCATAAATTTAACTGTGAATCAGTACACAGGACAATTGGCCGCCATGCTGGATGGTGCCGACGCAGGGCACGCTCTGATTTATGTCGCATTAGCTGTTCGATCCTGCCCTCACACCCTGTAAAGGATGCATTCTGTCCTGAAAATATGGGAACCAGTGGGTGTGAGCCTAATAAGCCTCTTGACCAAATTAAAAACTGTAACAAGAGCCTTGGCTCAGTGGATTGAGTGCCGGTTTGCAAACCAAAGGGTTGCTGGTTCAATTCCCAGTCAGAGCACATGCCTGGGTTGCCGGCCAGGTCCCCAGCAGGGGATGTGGGAGAGGCAACCACACATTGATATTTCTCTCCCTTTCTGTCTCCCTCCCTTCCCCTCTCTGTAAGAAATGAATAAAATCTTTTTTTTTTTTAATTTAAAACTGCAACAAGGTACCCCTACGCACCCCTATGTTCATTGCAGTGTTATTTACAATCGCCAAAATATGGAAGCAACCCAAGTGCCCATCAATAGATGATTGGATAAAGAAGAAGTGGTGCATTTATACAAAGGAATATTACTCAGCCATTAAAAAGAATGGAATCTTACCATTTGCAACAGCACGGATGGACCTAGAGGGCATCGTATAAGTGGCATAAGTCAGAGAAAGATAAATATGATATGATTTCACATATATGAGGAATCTAAAGAAAATATAAATGAACAAGCAAGATAGAAACAAACTCACAGACACAGGAAACAGACTGATGGCTGTCGGAGGGGAGAGAGTAGTTGGAAGACGGGGTGAAAAGGGTGAAGGGATTGAGAAGGACAAATTGGCAGTTACAAAGCAGTCAGGGGGATGTGAAGTACACACAGCACAGGGAACGTAGGCGGTAACATTGTAATAAATATGTATGGGGCCAGGTAGGCGCTGGGCATACCTAGGGGATCACTCTGTAGTCCTATAGACATCGAACCACTATGCTGTACACCTGAAACTAATACAAATAATATTGAAAGTCAACTGCAATCAAAAAAAAATTTTAAGTTAAAAAAACTGCAATAAAATTAAATCCCCCCCCCAAAGAAAAGCATTTAAAAATCCTTTCCACACAACCCTGACTGCTGTGGCTCAGTGGGTCGGATGTCTTCCCACAAACCAAAAAGTTGCCTGTTCGACTCCCGGTCCAGGCACGTGCCTGGGTTGTGGGCCAGTTCCCTGGTGAGGGGCGCATGAGGAGAAATGATTGACGTTTCTCTGGTACTTCAACGTTTCCCCCTCCTTCCCCTCTAAGTCTTTTTTTTTTTTTAATATTTTATTATTTATTTATCTTTAGAGGGGAAGTGGGGGAAGGAGAGAGGGAGAGAAACATCAATGTATGGTTGCCTTTTGTGCGTCCCCTGCTGGGAACTGGCCTGCAGGGAACCGGCCTGCAACCCAGGCATGTGCCCTGACTGGGAATCGAATCCTTCCCCTCTAAGTCTTTTTAAAAAATCCTGCCCACCACCCACACTTCAATTAGCTTCTTGCCAGAAAAAATAAAGGAAAATGTATGGTAAGCAAGCCAGACCCACGCTGTCCTGCAGCGGTTTCTGGGAGCGAGGCGAGGCTCCGCCCCGTGGGGCGTCTGCGCTCCACGTGTGCGACGCGTGTGAGACAAATGCTCACACGTCATTGGATCCCCAATGAATCTCGAGTTCTAAAGTGCCTCAGGCCCTAACCGTTCACCAGTGACGCCAAGGAAAACCTTACGGGACTGGATGTGTGAGATGTTTGTTTACACAGCTATTGATTAGGAGAGACGCTTCCGGTGGCAGGGGCCTGCTGGACGCTGGGACAGGGGACGGAGAGGACGCAGGCCGGCAGACACAACCGTGGGTAACTCAGGGCAAGTTCCGAATAAGGGCAGACTGTGGTGTCTGAGATCGCAGGACAAGCTGGGGGTAAATGAAGGCTTCACAGAAGAGGTGACATGTGAACCCCCTTGAACTTGAGGGGACAGCCCTGGAGGCCCAGAGAGTGGAGGAGGTTCCCTTGGTTCAAAGGGCTGGTGGGGGTGGGGGGAGCTTTTGCAGAGAGACACAACTTGTCCTCAACAGTCTCCTTAGGGCGGCCCTGGCCAGGTGTCTCAGTGGGGTGGAGCACCCTGTGCCCCAGAAGGTCGGGGGTTCGATGACTGGTCAGAGTTCATACCTGGGTTGTGTGTGTGTGTGGGGGGGGGTGTTCATCCCCGAGGTGGGGAGGAGCAATGGATCAATGTTTCTCTGTCACATGGATGTTTCTCTCCCTCTCTCCCCCTGTCCCTTTCTCTGACTCTCAAATCGATGTGCATATCCTTGGATGAGGATTTTTTTTAATCCCCAGACACAGCCAAGGTCCCCGCCTGCAGCCCGTGCCCCACCCGTTGGGAAGCCTTGGCCTGGTGAGTTAGCTGTATGCACACCTGCTGCCTCATCACTGCAGACTCATGCTCAGGGTCATTTGGAAATCCATAAGCCACAGGATCCAGGCACTAGAGTCATGAATAGCTGTGACCTTGAATTGACAAGGAACTAGCAGGGGCCCAACATGTTGGGGCCAAGTTCACGTCTCAGGGAGAAATTCTCCAGCCGAGGACAGTGCCCAGAGGTTCCTTAACTCTGGGAGAAGGGGACACACTCACCCTTTCTCCTGAGAAGAATCCCTCAGCAAGGGAGTGTTTTCCGTCACGCAGGGTTCTTGGAACCTGGAGCCGAAGAGCCGGGGTAAAGGTGTGTGAGACCTGCAAGACACCGGGAGGAAGCACAGTCACCAGCTGCTGGGGCTGTGCCCGGAGAGAATGGGCAGTGAACCTGTGTTGGGAAAATCTGGAATTTCAGGAGAAACCACTAGAAACAAACCCCCTTCACTACAAACCAGGCTGGAAATGCACAGCGGAAACGTGCCACAGACCAGATGCTGGGGGAGGTGGGGCTGGACTGTGCTGTTCGACCCCCATCAGCTCCGTGGCGGATCCCAGCCAGACGTGTTCTTCCAGGCAGAGCTTCCCATCAACGAGCCCGATCGTCGTGTGATGGGCTCTGTCCTACTCAGAAAGTTCTATTTCTTCACATCATCATATTTTAAATATCACACATTGAAAGTATCCAAATGGCTTCCCTTGGGGCACCAGGCAGCAGAAGTTGGGCCAATGGAGTCATAATGAAATGAATGAGGGGCCTGGTTGGTTAGAGCATCATCTGGAGACACCAAGGTCATGGGTTCGATTCCCAGTCAGGGAACATACAAGAATCAACCAATGAATGCATTGATAAGTTGGCACAACGAATCAATGTTTCTCTTTCTCCTTCAAAATCAATACATTTTGAAATTAAAAAAAAATAATAAATGAAAGGGGCTGAGAGGTTCTCCGGGGCACAGATGCCACAGCTTAAGCAAAACAAAGGTTCAACCCTGACTGGTGTAACTCAGTGGACTAAGCTCTGGCCTTAGAACCAAAGGGTCCCAGTTCAATTCCCAGTCAGGGCACATGCCTGGGTTGTGGGCCAGGTCCCCAGTATGGGGTGCATGAGACACAACCACACACTGACATTTCTTTCTCTTTCTCCCTCCTTTCCCCATTTACTAAAAATAAATAACTAAAGTAGTTTTTTTAAAAGGTTCAGGCCCTGGCTGGTGTAGCTCAATGGATTGAGCGCAGGCTGCGAACCAAAGGGTCACGGTTCAATTCTCAGTGAGGGCATGTGCCTGGGTTGCAGCCCAGTCCCAAGTGGGGGCCATGTAAGAGGCAACCACACATTGATCTTTCTCTCCCTCTCTTTCTCCTTCCCTTCCCCTCTGTCTAAAAATAAAAAAAGAAATAAAATATTTTTAAAAGGTTCAGGCGCGACTTCCGCCAAGATGGAGGCATAGGTGGATATGCCGTGCCTTCTCACACAACCAAGTTTAGAGACAACTGAATATTAGCAACAGAAAACACAGACAGAACACGGAAAATTGAACTTTTCGGAAGTCCGTTAACAACAAATTCTTCAGCCTGATCGGTAAGGGGCGAAACCAGCAGCTGGTGAAGTGGGATTGCACAGGAGGACTCGGTCAGCCGGACTCAGGCGGAATCCAGACGCGCGGAATCCAGGCGCAGGGTTGGACCTAGTGAGCGACCGAGCGAGCCACCAGGCAAACGACCACAGGGGAGACAGCGGGGAAGCGGTGCTGCATGTTGACTGTGGTCGCGCATTTGTGCGCGGGTGGACAGGCGAGGGAGTGGGCGGTTGGACCGGGCCGGCGGGTCCCCGCGGCAAGTGGCAGTGGAGGGCACCGTCATTTCCCTGCTCTGACCCCACCTCCACATACAGCGTCATAACCCAGAGACTCTGAGTGGACCGGCCCAGGTGAACCACCTAAGACGCTAATCCTCACCCAGCTGTGAGAAACAGCAGAGGGGGTAGTCATTTCCCCGCTCTGACCACGCCCCCACATACAGCGTCACAACCCAGCGACCTGGGAGTCCAAGGCTCCGCTCCTCACACTTAAAGGGCACGAACAGACCAAAAATGTCACAAGAAGATCTCAAAGCCCCAGAGCCCATAGATCTAAGCGATGAAGAAATAGCAAAACTCTCAGACGCATAGTTTAAAACACTGGTCATCAGGATCCTCACAGAACTGGTTGATTATACCGACAAATTAGACAAATATATGAAGGCAAAACTAATTGAAATGAATGGAATTGCACAGGACACCAATAGCAATGAAAAGGAAACTGGGACTCAAATCAATGGAGTGGACCAGAAGAAAGCAAATAATGGCCAAACAGACAAGAGTCAAGAAGCAAGAATTCAAAGAAATGAGGAGAGTCTTAGGAACCTCCAGGACATCTTTAAACGCTCCAACATCCCAATTATAGGGGTACCAGAAGGGGGAAAGGCACAGCCACCAGTGGAAAACTTATTTGAACAAATAATAAAGGAGAATTTCCCCAACTGGCAAAGGAAATAGACTTCCAAGAAATCCAGGAAGCTCAGAGAGTCCCAAAGAAGTTGGACCCAAGAAGGAACACACCAAGGCACATCATAATTACATTAGCCAAGATTCAAATGAAGGAGAGAATCCTAGAAGCAGCAAGAGCTAAGGGGACAGTCACCTACAAAGGAGTGCCCATCAGACTGTCAGCAGATTTCTCAAAAGAGACCTTACAGGCAAGAAGGGGCTGGAAAGAGGTATTCCAAGTCATGAAATCCAAAGACCTACAACCAAGATTGCTCTATCCAGCAAAGCTTTCATTTAGAATGGAAGGACAGATAAGGTGCTTCTCAGATAAGATCAAATTCAAGGAGTTCATCATCACCAAGCCCTTATTATATGAAATGTTAAAGGGACTTATCTAAGAAAAAGAAGTTAAAGAAACATGAACAGTGAAAGGACAACAAACTCACAGTTATTAACAACCACACCTAAAACAAAAGCAAACTAAAAGGACAGCTAGATCAGGAGTGGAAACATAGCAATGAAGATCTCAAGGAGGGTTAGCAACAGGGGAGTGGGAGGAGGAGAAGGGGGGGAGAAGGTACAGAAAATAAGTAGCATAGACAGTAGATAGAAAATAGATGGGGGGGGCAAGAATAGCATGGGAAATATAGAATCTAAAGGACTTGAGACACATGGTCATAAACTAAAGGGGGGGGTAATGGTGGGGATGGGGGGTAGGGTGGAGGGGAATGAAGGGGGGAATAGAACAACTGTAACAGCATAATCAATAAAAAATTTAAAAAATAAAAATAAAAATAAGTAAGTCTTTTTGAAAAAAAAAAAAAAGGGTCAGGCGCCTTGGGGTACCCCTCTAAGGGGCTGACCTGTCCCCAGGAGGAGGGGCCACACACACCATCCAGAGCATGAGCTATTCCAGAGGGACATAACTGCTGTCACAACAGAGTCCACCAGCACGAATGGTCACCCTATCAAAGGACAGCTTTGTTATCGTAGACACCATCCCCAATGTCCCCTGCCCCCCTTCTCTGCCCATCTCCACCCAGCCCCCACCCCACCCCTCAGCCTTCACCACAGTGTTGTCTGAAGAACATATGACATTTAAAAGCAAATGGTTTTTCATGAAAAGAATCATTTCACTTCATGAAAGAATCATTTCATTCCTAATTATTAGACATATGTCATTTTACTTTTTAAATTTAATTGATTTAAGAGAAAGAGATCTATCGGTTGTTCCACTTATTGACGCATTCATTGGTTGCTTGTTGCACGTTCTCTGACCTGGGATTGAGCCCGTAACCTTGGCGTTCGGGACGTCACTCAAACAAACTGAGCCACCTGGCCAGGGCTGGGACCCCCCAAAAACTGAAATTTATTTATAAAAAAATTGTGTATTTATTCTTACATGCTTAAACTTCAGTCACCTGGAAAGTACTCTCTAGTTGATGCAATACACCTAATGAGACTGTTTTCCACGGCTCAAAACAGGTTTTGAACTCATCAATTTTGATGCCTTTTAGCGCTTCTGCCATTTTTTGTTTCACCTCTTCCACATCAGCAAAATGTTTCCCTTTGAGGACTTTTTTCATCCAGGGAACTAAAAATAAATCACTCGGGGTGAGGGCATGGGGGAAATGCTTGTTTTGGTCAAAAACTGCTGAACACTCAGTGTGGGGTGGGCAGGCGCTCTCATAAATCACCCATCATGAAATGGGCAAAAGCAGAGAAAAGCTTCAAAAAAAATTCACTGAAGCCAAACGCAGCCTCTCACAACAACACCAGCTGGTGCACTGATACAGGTGGGTTCTTGGAACACTCACCTTAGTGGGGGTAACTTGTACTACAAGGGGCCCGCCCTTCAGAAGATAATTACAGTTTTTGGGGTTCCCCTTCATAGGTCATTGTATAAGCTAGTATGTTGCGTTTCCTGATGGGCCAGGTCACACACGGTGCCGGGGATGCTGTGAAACACTGCCCTGGAAAAACAACAGTGACTCACACCATAAAAACAAAGCGAAGTGAAAATTTGAAGGAAAAAAATTTTGTTTTAATTTTTGAGACAAGAGAGAGGAAAAGGGAGGGAGAGAGAAATGCTGATTTCTTGTTCTACTTATTCATGCATTCACTCACCGATTTCCGTATATGCCCTGACTGGGAATCAAACCCACAACCTTGACGTATCAGGAGGATGTTCTAACCAACCGAGCTACCCAGCCAGGGATAAAGAAAAGTATTTCCAACCACTTTCTTTTCCACATTGAACTTGTGACACAGACCATAAGACTCTGTTTTCACGGATGAATGACACCAAGGCTCCCAGCCGTGTCCGTCCCAGGCCAGCTAACTTCCTCTGGACAAAACCTCTGGGCTGCCTTGAGCACTCCCTCCGGGAACGCAAATGACGGAGGACCCTGCCTCACAGGCTTTGACAGGGTGCACCGAGGCCCCAACCAGCAGAGATGAGAGGAGAGGGGATTCATACCTAATGCACTCCTAGCAGGTCTGACTGGTTTGAAGATTTAGTTGGGCTTTTTTTAAAAAATCCTGAGGATGTGCTTTTATTGATTTTATAATTTTTAAAGATTTTATTTATATACTTTTTAGAGAGGAGTAGGGAGAGAGAAAGAGAGGAAGAGAAACATCAATGTGTGGTTGCCTCTCGCGTGCCCCCTACTGGGAACCTGGCCCACAACCCAGGCATTGCCCTGAGTGGGAATTGAACTGGTGACCCTTTGGTTTGCAGGCTGGTGCTCAATCTGCTGAACAACATCAGCCGAGGCTGTTTTTATTGATTTTA